TGTCTAAAATTTCACCCTTGTTGCAGCTCAGGCACATGATCAGGTCTGCAGGAGGGTATTTCTGTCCACGCAGTTTCCGTGCTGTGGAAGCAACCTGTAAAAATTAGTCTGTCTAGTCTGTTCTGCGAAGGCACTGATATACTATACCTAGCACTGTGCATCACTTTTTTTTTCTCTTGTTAAAAAGATATCTTTAAAGTAGTTCCAAAAAATGGGAGATGCAAGTGCAGGGCTGCTGACACTCGGAGGGAATTCGAACTCCTATTTTAGGAATGTCCCTAGACTGTCACTTATGCTGAACAGGAGCCTTGTTACTACTTACAGCTTTCAAGATTATTTTTGTTTGTGTATGTGTGTGTGTTTTGTTTCAGTGTAAAATACATAAATAATCCTGATGTCGATTTTAGATTCTTGCACCCAGATTCTAAGCTGGTCCTACCAGAAGGTCCGCATCCTGTTGGGGACCACAAATACTGTTCTGAATCAGGTCCTAACACATTAAATAAATGTGGAGAAAAAATAGAAGAACAATATGAGGGACTGATAAGAAAACACCGAGCCAGAAGAAGTAGAAAAAGGACACGTAGTAGAAACAAAAGAAAAAAAAACCAGTGTAGACACTGATTGTAATAGAAGGGAAAAGGGCCTATTACTCAAACTGTTTAGGTTAATGGAAAGATTCCCGCTGGCATCTTTGGAATTTTAGTTAAACTCAAATAAAGGAAAAAACAATGGAGGAAGAAAGTTGTTCATTTTTTGGCCCAAGGTGAACAAAAAAAAAGGAAGGAGGATAAAGAGTCTTGAACTCCTATAAATCACTTAAAATTAAGGCAGCCTTGAGTATTTTTTTTATCTATTGTAGTATTTTTCTGTGGCAACAAAGTTTTTTCTTCCTGCAAACTGTCTTGATTAAAAAAAAAATCAACTTCAGACAATGTAAAATTTACAAATTAGTAAACACATTGCCAGGGACCGTTTGTTTATTTTCAAGACAAGTGCCTAGGTGGGTGAGATGAAGTTTATTTTGCGGGTGCTGATTTTCATCAGCTAAGGTATCTAAAGGGAGGCAATGGTGACTACCTTAAACTTGTGTATTTTTAGATGCTTAAGCTAGATTAAATGAATACTACTTTGCGTGTGCCATCCACAGCTGTCACGCAGTGAATGTAATTAGCTGTGGGAGGTATTGATCTCACAATAAGTACAATGCTCTTAGCTGACTGGTGTACAGTTTCTAATCCTAAATTGGTTTAAAAAGAGCTCAAACGTGTGAGAAGAAGAAGATAAAAAATTAGTTTTAATTTGCTTTAAGTTTGCCATGTTTCAAAAGTTCTGACAGAGTACAAATATGTTTCCTGTTCTCCCCTATATTAACGAAATAATAATGCTGTAATTTACAGAATCAATTGAACCAGGAGAGAAGGCTTGCCAGAAAAGCTTCCTCTAATGAAGAAGAAAGAAGTCCTGTTATCATGCAGGAAAAAACCAGAAAGCTGGAGTCGGAAGGCAGCTCTGGCATTTTGTACTCCAAAGACACAGTTGCTGAATCTGCTGTAAATGGGAGTCAGACTGACGGCAGTGAGAAGGAAGCCAGTCGTTCTGAAAGCAGCTTTGATGCAGACAGTGAAGCCTCAGAAAGCGAAAGTGCTTCTAAGCAAAGAGTTTTTAGCTCCTCCAGCAATGTGTCTGGTTTGCACGTTAACCACAGAAATGTTAAAATGCCACACAACAAACTAAGCGACAGTAACGATGAGATGATTTCCAGTGCCATATCCAAACTCAGCTTCTGTGATACTATAAATGAAGATGAAAAGCCTAGCCATGGTGACCCAGCATTAAGTTTAAAAAATAATTCTGCGTTCTCAGTGGAAAAAGCCCCTTTATCCCCAAACCCTCAAAACGCTTTTCAGACGCTTTCCCAGAGTTACGTAACTAGCTCCAAAGAATGTTCTGTCCAGTCCTGCCTTTACCAGTTTACCTCTGTAGAGCTCTTGATGGGGAACAACAAACTTTTATGTGAGAGCTGCACAGAAAGGAAACAGAAGTATCAGAAGAAAGCCAACTCCACAGGTAGTGCACTAATATCTGTCAAAACACATGACAAACACAATCTCTCAAAACCTATTGTCACTGCTGTTTCATTGCTCCAGCATCAGGCTTCCCCCTTGTGGCTAAACAGAAAATATCTCCCCCAAGCAAAACTTGCTTTTAAGAACTTAAAAACTTTATCCTGCTAGGGCAACAAATCTAAATTTTATTTAGAACATAATTGTAGATGTAACTTAGAATTTATTTTTGCATCTTTTCTTTAGTTTCATCCAATAAAAGTAACTTAAAGATGACTTCAAGCTGGATAGGCTCATCATTTGTTGTTGATCTTTTCTGCTTTTTACATGGTCCTTACAATTGTGGTAGCTTTGAAATAAATGCTGTAATATTCAGCTGTAGCAACTTACATGCTCAAGGAAGTGATGAAATTAAGTATGTGTTGGAGGCAAAAATTTACACTTGTAAAGAAGAAGGGGGAAAAAAAAACTTTCAAAGAGTTGGAAGAACGGAGATGAAATAGAATTACCTTCTTGTGACAAGCATTCTTTTCCTTTATATTTGTGTAGCCCAAAGAGACGATTAGTGCTCACTGAGCAAGAAAAAACAGTTTAAATGAATAAGGAGAGAGAAGCTTATAAAATAAACTGGGCAACTTTTTTGAAGTGTGGTAATTATAGAAAATGAAATAAAAATCGTTGCAACATAGATCCATCCCGTCAGATGTTTAAAAATGCTTTTATTCTGTGCGACTGCTCTTACCTTTACAAATTGTGATTTCGATATTCATAAATACAGACAAGAAAACGGAAGGTGTTTATACAAACGCTCGGAAACAGCTGCTGATTTCTTCAGTTCCTGCTATTCTTATTCTCCATCTGAAAAGATTCCACCAGGTAAAAGGCCATCTTGTATATTCCTCTGGCACACTGGTGGACAAGCAGTTTATTACTTAAGTGTCGGTGTGCATACCTATTTGCTTTATATACAGAGAACTGGTCAAGACACCATTTATTTCTGTTCTGAAACATGCTTACTTTTTTTGAATCTCTAATACCTTCAAAATGTGCATTTAGCCTTTCACATATATCCATGGAAACCTCTTACACTTCCATTATGCTTGTGTGTAGCGTGTACTATATGGAAAACGTAACAAAGAACGTTTATGTAAGAAACAAATCTTATTCTTGGTTTTGGTTTATTTTAATAGTATAGTAAAACACGTAGCTTTAAAAAGTTTCTAGTAAAAATATTTATCTTAGGTTTTTTTTTTTTCTTTTGAAGGCTGGTTTGAGTCTACGGAAAGTAAACAGGCATGTGGATTTCCCACTGGTTTTAGACTTGGCACCATTTTGTTCTGCGTCTTGCAAGGTACACATGTTAAAATCCATTTTTATTGTACTTCAGCAGTTGCTGTTGTCCTGACCACAAGTTAAACTGGATTGATTTTATTACTATTATTCCTTTCTTTCCCAGAGAAATTGTATACTGAATGCTTTAAAATAATATACTGAATCAGAATCTTAACTGACTGAATTCATTGATATGAATGGACTGATGTTAGCTAGCACCAGTTAAGCTGTGGTACCGTGATGGCTTTACTGCATCTAACAGCAGTCAGGACAAGTATTGCTGCTTCCGTGGTAATTGGATTCCGTTAATAGACTTCTTGAGTATTTTTAATGGATTTATTTCACCAGTGGAAATGCTGTAGCTGTCTGTTTGCCTCCTTTGAAATAATATTGTTCAAAGCTAATTAAGATATCTAGCAAAATCCATCATGAAATAATTTGTTTTTATTTTCTGTTTCTTGGAATGCAGAATGTTACAGATGGTGCAAGAGTGCTATATAGTCTCTACGGAATAGTGGAGCACAGCGGGTCAATGAGAGGTGGTCATTATGCAGCATATGTCAAAGTCAGGACACCCTCCAAGAAACTGCTGGAGCATATTTCTGCAACTAAAAATGTTCTAGGTATGTACAACAGAACCTCCTTTCTCTGTGAGTAAAACCAAAATCAGCCACTGGCTACAACTCTGTATCTTTAATTAGATTTCTAGCAAGTAATTATTTTGGCTCAGAACAGTCTCACTTATTTATTTGTATGGCCACATAAATCAATTCTTTTTGTTCTCTCATGCCCGATCCATGATATACTTCTATATTAGCTCCACTTAGAGCTGAGCAAACAATGGAATTGTGGTTCAGTTAAACAGAAAACTGATTGAAACAAATCATCTTTTTTCCTAGTCAAAATTATTCACTCAGATGAATAGCTATGTCCTCTAAAATGTAACTATTTTGGCAAATTTGGTATCTGAAAATGCCACTGCAAGAACTGAACCCACAACAATTTAATTTAAAAGTTCGTTTTTCAGCATCTTATCTATGCTAGGTATGTTAGGGTTGGAAAATGTTTAATGCTTACAATGCTGGAATAATCTGGTTTAACGTGAAGAGCAAGACCCTTTTTCATGGAGGACATACAATTTGTCATGGGGATTCCGTTGGTGTTTTGAAAAGAGCACGCTTGTTAATATGTTTTGGATACGTGGAATGAAATAAGATTCTAAGGTAGAATCTGTTCATGAATGATTTGTGAAGGCAAGACTGTTGAGTTGGCAGAAGAAGGTAAACGTATTTACTGTTTCCCTTCATGGGGAAACATAGAGGGGAGGGAGAGCAAGCACATACTTTGTCTGTTCTGTGTAGTATCACTTTGCATTTGAAGCTTATCTCCCAGAAGGATAGTATTTTGAAACAGAAGTCTCCCTCAGTCCTATGTTTCCCTTGAGTGATTGTTAGAACTGATTAAAGCCATTTTGTGTTCCTCATTTGCTACTGGTCAGCTTCTGAAATACGATTTTTCCATGTCAGAACTGGTCCTGGGTGCTAGCGCAAGTTAACATTAAAACTCAGTAAGCTGTACTTGAAATGTCTTTGGCTTTTTGAATAAAACGAAAAAAAAGTGATGGCAGTGCAAATTTGTAAGTATTATCTTTCACCAGTTTCTCTTACGGCATTCTTCGACGTGTAAATTTCAAACAAAGTATAAATACTGAATTGCATCTGAGTCATGAGTTACCCTTGTGGTTAAAAGCGTTCTCAGTTTTTTAGATATCCATCGTCTTTGCTGATAAAGTGAAAGACAAGAAATATGACAGACTTTGTTTTTGTATTTCAGGTTTGAAAGAAGCTGTGGGAGCATCGGCAGGACAGTGGGTATATGTTAGTGATGCTCATGTTCAGATGGTTCCAGAATCACGAGTACTGAATGCACAAGCGTATCTGCTTTTTTATGAAAGAATATTATAATTTTCACCAGTTTAAATTAAAAAGGTAGTGGTTATTTAGACTATCTTATTTAAATGCTGCAGTGGTAACAGAACCTGTAAATATTGTGCCTTTATCTTGTAGAGAATTTATCATATGTTGACTCTGAAGTTCAGTCAAGCTATTATGAATATCTGAATGGTTCTTTTAAAATAATGCACTTTGCCAAACATTTAAAATTCCTGGACTCATTAAAATACAATGCAGTTAGGATGTGAGATGATGTCCTATCCTAGTGAAGTCAGTGGAAAGTTTGTTCTCAATTTTGATGAAGATAAGCTTTCACCCATAGTTCTAGAGCAGTAAAGAATAAAAATACTGATAGTGTTAAGTGCCTGGATTTCCCAGTGTACAGTAACAATATAAAGTATTTCATAATCTTTGGGTTTTAGTCCAGACCCTTCCCATCACTGGGCTGGGTGTCCTCTGTTAAGATTTCTGCAAATAAGAATGTGTCAAAGCACATTGCTTCCAGATGTAACTAATGGAAAGCAGTGCTTCCAAAATGCAGTTACACCAGATGTCTCTGGGTAATGCTGCAGTGTAATTTCCTGATATGTTGTTGGGAAAAGATTGGGAAAGTATAGCTTCTGCAGCGTGACAATGGATCCTCAGATACCCGACGCCCTCTGAGCTGTCTTCAACTGACACTAGTTGAAGTAGCTGAAACTAGTAGTTTACTCCTGTTTTAGTATAAATATATACTACTGTGGTGTGCATGTATATACTCTCTGGGATATATACATATCTCTCTCTCTACAGAGAGAGATACATACATACACACTTATATATGCACACCATAAATCCATCAATATATATTGTCATTTTACCTATTACAATAGAAGAATTGCAAATACTTCTATATTTAGTAAATTTTCACATTTATATTATGATACATGTACAGCATATAGTAAGCTTGTGTAGGAATATGTATGGAGCTTACAAGTATATCTGGGTAATTCTGTTACTTTTGGTTCTAAACATGGATTTGTTTATCCGTTCCTGAATACTTTTCTCACAAGAGTAATAAAATGTGAATTATTTTTGCACTGTGTGTGTGAGTTGGACAGTAAATGATAACTTTTGCCCTCTGAGGCATGTCTGAACCTCCCTTTGTCATCAGTGGAGGACAGCACAGCTTGTTCCTATGTGGTGGCTCCTGTCCATACTGTGATTGCCCTAATTGAGTTCTTATTTCTTTTGATAATGTCTCATGTCTGTCCCAGCTGGTAATACGTACATTTGAAGGCCAAAAACTCAGGCAGTTATGTGATAATTCATTCAGTAAGCAGTTACTTACATACAAGTTACAGTTTAGATGCATCCTGTCCAACTTACTCTTTGTTAAAGAATAACCTATGTTTACTTCTACTTGCTATTTTCATTTATAGAAACACTTTGTTTCATATGGTGAAAAACCTTGCTGTCCCTTTTACCATCTCTACCCTACTTAGGCCTCTCTCAAGTTTTGTAGTTCTATTTCAGAGCTACATCCCACCTGCATTTGCCTTTTAGTATAAGAAAGTAACAAAATCTGTCACAGTCAAATTTGCTTAGAGATAGCAATCAGACTGCTGAAGTACACTCTGTAGCCACTCTGCTTGTACGTACTTGCGCAGGCACTGAGGATGGTTAGGCCATACAAGTGAGTGTAGAAACAAATACAGTGAGCCCCTAGTCACACAGGATTTTATTTTCCAAAGGAAAAAAAGCCCTTTGGGGTGGGTCAAAGTTAGGCCATGTGTTTTAGGCTACCCAGTCATTTCTTCCCTTTACAGATTGAAATTATCACAGTTTACCTAAAAGTAAAAATCAGAGAAACCAGTCAGTCAACTTTAGCCATCTCTGTTCAAACTAAATGCCCTGAACCAGAATCTGTACTAAAAAAGAAAAGAATTATGTTTAGCGTGGAGTTAAATAACATGTACTGCTTTTCTTTTTTACCTCTTTACATTCTCCTACCCTTCCCCCACTTACACGCACCTCCCCCATCTTTGTATGTAGCTGGCCAAAACTGAAAAATAGTCCTGGCCAAGAATCGCAGCAAATACAGGCCAAGTTTCACTTCTGTGGCACAATCAACTTCATAGATCACTGATGAGGTATATTTAGATCCATCTTAAAGCAGGCAGATGGACCGGATGAGCCCCTGAAGTTCCCTATTTTGTGGATTTCTGAGAATTTAAAACTACTTAACTTAGATATGTATCTGTATTAACATCCTACCTTTTAGCCTAGAAACACACCCTAGAGTGCAAGACGAGGAGAGAAACAGAACAAGATTTTCTTAATCAGTGGGGGGTATTTTAATGCTGTTTTCAGGAAACTCTTGTTGAAGTGGTCTTCACTTCTCTCTAACCACAGTTCCTCATACTGTTTAGGCTGCCTAAATTTTCTTCCCATGAAAAATGGACATACTGATTAGGATGCCATGAAAGTCGTCGGTAGGCTTTTCTCATTAACCCACCAGGAACATTTTCATGTTATTATGGTATTTTATAGAAGCTGGGGGAAAAATGGCATGAAAAAAGCTAGCATCTTTACCTGAGATGGTCATCACTGCTGCTCCTGGATGAGGCTACCTGAGTTGAAATAAAAAGTAGTGGTAGCAGCACCTCCAGTAAGTTCAGAGTCAGAAGCAAGTATGAAACTTTTACAGAGAAAAAGCATTCTGTAAAAATGAGGGCAACAGGTGCGGTTATGGCTTTAGAATGAAGAACTCAAAAAGAGAACGATATCCACACCTTTAGATTTACGTTTTGTATCTCCGAGTGCATCCCTTAGGACCACAGTTTCTTGTGGTAAACTTTGGCTGCAGCACAAGTGGTTGTACACAAACATGCATGTGGAAGACCTGTGATAGTTGGGCACGTTCCTTATCAGGAATTGCAAAGTTCAGAGCATTCCAGGAAAAAGGGATGTGCATCCTACATTTGCTGAAGTGCTGAACACACTTCTACAGTCTATTTGTGAAGTCTAGGAGCTCTTAGTTTCCTGCAACTGCCAAAGGAATGTGCACCCTATTGAAAAGTTAGGGGTTTTTAAAGTTTAACTGAAGGGCTCAAATGTTTCAGACTCTCCTTGAAATCTCTTCTACTAGACCAGAAATCGATTCAGGCCCACAGTATCTGCTTTTCATAGAGCTACGCCATATTGTTATGTTTTTGCGGCAAAAGTGCAGTAACCCGCTTCTTCATTTGGAATAGCTTAGAAACTGCTCTCTCTTCATCCCACCCTTCTCTTCTCACCAGGGCACCACTGTTTTCTTCTTCAGGCTCATCTGGGTTTTACATTTTGGGGTGTCCTTAAGCCTCTGCCTACATACTTTTCTCTCACCCACCCTTAACCACAAAATAGTGTCTCCTCATCCCATCACTTGTATTTCTTGAACTAGCAGAACTCTTACTGGAAGAGGTACTCTAATCATAGTCCTGCTTCTCCCTACCATCATACTGGCTCTAGCTATAGATGGCAACATAGGTATCTGAGAAAAGGTGTGACTCCTGAGCAGTTCTCTGCTGCCCAGTCACAAGACAGTGCCTTTAAAACAAAGAAAAAGAAAAGAAAGTAAATAGTTCCCCAAGCTTCAACAAGTAAACCTAATTTATGAGAAGTGTTTGATTTGAACAACTGGAACCCCTATAAAAGTTTCCCCATAGCTGAGGCATCAAAGATGGCTCTATCAGCTGAGGTAAGAAATTAGTCCAGATTGTATAGTTTTTCCCCTCAGAAAGAACTTTATCTTTGGATCTACAGCATTATGCTGAATTTGCATGAAGATGGCAAAAGGTGATGGGGAGCAAAATTATTATATCGACCTGTCTACACCAACATACAGACAGACAGCACATTTATATAAGCCTGTTCTCCTAAGAAAGCAAGCTGCAAATACACAGTGCTGAAGAAAAAAATTAAGATGCTTCTCTGCCCAAGATGCGTGCACTGTAATTGTCTTTGTTTAGAAAATGAAATTACATTCTGCCAAATGTTCCTCCTCTATTCCCATCTGCACTTTCAGAGTGTATCAATGAAGTGCCCTTATGAATTTCAAGTGGTAGCAGGTGAGAGTGGTTTCTAAATTCATTAAAAGGCTGAAATGTCTTAACTTCACCACTTGCTTCTCTTTTGGACTTTCTTTATACTAACACAATCTGAATCATAAAGGGACAGGAAATTAATGCATATACATTCTCAAATTAACCCATTATAAAATTCTTATTTGAACGTATCGGTAACAAGCTAGTATTTGGAAATGAAAAATTTCTTGAAGAGAAACTTCAAGTTGTATTGAAGTGGAGACAAAGAAAGTGTTTCAAGACATCTTTTATGTTAGGAAGAATTAGCAAATATAATATTAATTTGGTTTTGGCTGTACCCTATACACATTTATGTATGTTGGGATGGACATGAAAAGGATGTCATTCATTTTCAGTGGAAATAGTTCAGTCTAATTATTTTAGCGGATTATTTCTGCTTCTCTATCTATCTACTCTGTTTCAGGGTATCATTTTGCCTGTTGTTTTAGGTGTTTGTATCTCTACCCTTGGTGTGTAAATAAATGGCAGAAATAATGGGAAAGTGATTAGTCAAAAAGATTAAACATCTGTTTTTTCCTATAAACTGTGTTTATAAAATATATTTATTTTCAGACAGAAGTCTGTTAGTGCAAGTCAAAACACTACTTTGCACAACATGACATATAAAGTCAGGTGAATTAACTTTTTGTAATAAAATAAATGGAATTCATTGCAACTATTCTAAAATGGCTTGGCATACATTCCGTTTATATAAAGTTAAATACTTCTGTCTTCACTGATAACAGTACAAAACCAGTATTTTTACGTGTTAAGAATGTTTCTTCCATCTGTTGCAGCTTCCAATATTTTTGTAGTACCAAATATGAAGGTGCAGTACTGCCTTTAAAAGAGGACAGAAAGCATTTACTTTGAGAACATTTATGACTTTTTAACGCCTCATTGCTTAGCTCTATTAAATTTTTTTTTTGAACTGCGTAACCTGGGACTGCAACGAATTCTGTGTCGTGAAACCTCTACATGTAAATGGCACAAATTCCCTCTTTAGCCATTTTACAAAGTCAGGTTCTGATTTTACTATAATTTCTGCATGGGGATAATCCCTGATGTGCTCATATGTGGTTGCACAAATACCAATCTATATACTAATAATAAAAAAAAAAGCTGCTAAGTCTGAAATACTCTTAAGCAATAAATCAAATACATTAAAGTTTCACCTTGTTTTTCTTCATTTACTCTTACAGATGCAGATTATAAAAAAGAACACCAAAAAAAGTCTGATTATTTTTCCAATCTATCTTAGGTACTTTCATGAGTTTCTCAGAGTAAAGGTGCCACTTACTTTCCATTCATTTTGTCTTTTACATCTATGGTATGTATGAGTAAAATATCCAACCATTTGGAAAACTGTATTGTCTAATTCTAAGCTATGTGTTGTACAGTTGAGTTCACAAAGTTTCTATCTTTTCTTTTGTAACTAAAGAAAGAATATTCTTTCCTTTCACCTTGTGTGACAACATCACTACACCTGGAAGAGCTCCCCAGATGAGTCCATATCCTTGAAAGCTTAAGCTACAGCACTCATTTCCCACTGCCTTACCATCTGTGGCATTCATTGCTCATAGACTATGAGACAAGAGTTTGTTCCCTTCACAAAAACAGAGTTTTGTCATCCTGTGGTCAATAAGACCAGGATCTACACCAGATTTCTCACATCCCCAGTTTCACTAGTAGGTTAAAGCTTGCCCATGCATAAAGTACTGCTCCTAGTTCCTGGTTGTGCATCAGGGGACACAGCACATACTTGAGACTTTCAAACCATTATTGTTCATGGAAAGCATTCTTGATCTAGTCATTTCTTTACAACATAAAGAGGGAAAAGTCTAGACTACCTCAGTTAATTGTATTATGCAGCATAAATGGTGCCAACAAATCTTAAAAATAAAACCATTAAATGAAGTATAGCACAAATTTATTGAAATTTTCCTTTGAGTATTCTATACATTTATACAAAATGAAT